TCCAGGATAAGGAGTGTATCTGTAGTCAAACAAGACAATGTATGTTTGAAAATGCTGTTATAATAGGGGTATAAATCTTTCAAAGGGTGTGTTGGGTGATAGTGTTGGACAAGTGAAACTCTGACAGAGTTAAGATCTGTAACGTGTCTCATATCAATGTATAGCACATTTTGAAAGTTTTGCCCAACCTTAACTGCTATGCTGGTCTTACCAATACCCCCCATCCCGGTCAGGAGAATGAGTGGAGCTTTATCTCTGATATGTTGCTGTATCGTGGTAATGATGTCATCACGGCCCTTCAACTCAGTGTTTGTTCTGGGTAACTTCGTGGAGAGCAACTGACAAAGGGTTTCTGAAAGAACAAATTTCAGTTACGTTGTGTGCACTTTCGTTTTAAAACCACAGTAGCTCCAAGGTAGAAACGTGGTGTACGTTTTTAATGAAATTAATAATAATAATAAAATTTATTTCATCGTATAATGTTACGTGTTTATTTTGTTGGATTCAGATTCACCTGTTTGTTTACATGGTACAGAGAAGAAAAATAATAATATACCAATAAGTAATTCAATATGATACTTGACTATGATTCTTACAATATACACAAGTTAAAGAGATGGACCTTTTTGTTAATTCTGTTAATCGAGATACTGCTCTGTGAGATAAATCATTCTGTGGGTTAATAAGGATACATAGTTTCTGGTCACTAATTAAAATGAAAATCCACTGTTTAAGTAAAAATGAATAAATAAATAAATTTGGACCACTAAATCTAACGGTACAAAACCTGAAAATACACTGCCTGATTGTAGCGTGTGTGAACGCATGCGCGCGCTCGTGTGCATCTCTCTCTGTGTGTGTGTGTGTGTGTGTGTGTGTGTGTGTGTGTCACAAACAAGTGCATTTGTGCTTATTTATTCTGTCTGGTTGTACAGGTGTTGAAAAGGTATTAAGTAATTGTGCCAAAACCTACCTGAGGCATCGAGGGGCTGAATCAGCAGTTTGTCATAGTCATCATTAGTATACATTGTCGACAGAGACAGCAGGATAGCTTTCAAATCAGCGAACTGGCTCTGAATGTCTGCGTCTGAGAGACCCTCTGTCCCATTAGCGTGCTTATTGCGGTACCCCTTCACCCTGGCGATGTTGGCCTCTGTCGATGTATCCGTGGCAGGAGGATTGTCCCATTTTGCATGAGGCTTCAAGTTTGTGATGTTTCTTAATAAGACTAAGATCAGGGTTATATCTAAGTCTTGCAATGTCACAGGAGGGGCGGGGCTCACAGGAGGATAGAGAATATCCATTTGACCTTGGTCCAAAATCCTCTTTCTCTTCACTCCCTTTGACTTCAGACTGAGCAAGGTATGTTTCACCGTTTTTTCATTTAAGACATCAGCTATCACTCCATTACTTGATGGTCCATAGAGCCCTGGATATCGTGATTGTAACTGGGTATTAAGAACATCTCGAAGTACGTCCTCTGCACGACTTATTAAGAGTTGCATGCAGGAATGGTTTGCCTTCTTCTTTTGTGGAGTATCCAAACTATCCATTTTTCAGATCTGCAAAATAAAATGTGATGACGGTTTTTAAGGTTCATCATTATATTTTCGTTTTTCTCATGGTTATTTTGTTAAAGTAAAGTGATAGGTTTATCAGTTTGATCAATCCCCGACGTCTCAAGTTCCTAAAACTTCTGATCTAAGACTAGATAGCAGATACTGCTATGTAGAAAAATAAAGAATCAACCACCCCAACCACTCGAAATTACAATGTGAAATAAATTACATATATAATCGTCCGGCCCTGGAGCAGCCTGACCAGAATCACTTGTAGCTAGCCTGGGCAACCCCGTTCTCATTCCAAATCTATCTTTATAGTACTTCAAAACGTATCAGCGATTAAAAAAATCATGGTCGCAAAATGCGTTTCAGTTGCAAAAAGTATTCTAAAATGCAGCTCTACAAAGGTAAACTTTGCTGTGGCCTATCAAAAATTTAGATTTTACTTCGAAGACAGAAGATTAATATCACTTTACAATGCATCAGCCTTTTATTCAGGATAAATCATAACTTATTTACATCAAAGAAAGCGGAGACCATACCAATCCTACTAATATTCTACATAACAACTGACAACGTGCGCCTTGATTTGGCCAACATAAAATTATTCAACGCTAAAGTGATAAGAGTATGTAATATTTCATAGGCAAGAACACATACATGTATCTATGGGATCATTCCCAGACCCTATAGTACTAACTGTACGTCGAACTAGGGGGTAATTAATCATCGTTTAGCAGCTTGCAGCTTCAGTGGGCGTGCCAGATATCTAGGCCGCTTAAGCAACCAGCAATTAAGCGAGGAACCCCTCGGAGATGGATCGATCCTGTTAGATCGATCTAGGTATGGGAACCCAGTCTATTGATTATGTCTCGTTTTCAGAATAATGCAAATGCTTTTATTTAGATAATATGGTCACTATTACATTTCATTTAGATAATATGGTCACTATTACATTTTATTTAGATAATAAGGTCACTATTACATTATATTTAGATAATATGGTCACTATTACATTTTATTGGTGCTGCATTGATGCAAACCAAGCACAACATACGTGTATCCCATGGTATGCCATTATGTCCTACCGATAAACTTAACGTCGCTTTTTTTTAAATAGATGTATTAATTTGTAGCTCACTTGTACGTGGAATTTGTATTAAGAAAAAAGTACTTCATGATGTTGTATTCTAAAGGGCTATGTTGAATAAGACTATTGTCACATTCGTGGTGTTTTGGTCTAAGTGAAAGCTTTTTCTTACAAGAATTACTAAAGAAAGAGTACGCTGTTGCTTTGTGTCACCACACGCTGAGTAAATAATGCATTATTATACAAACGCTGCAATACAAAGATGTGACCTTGACATTAAAGTTGTTTGTCAGAGCGCTGTGGCAACAGGGCGCAGTGTTTGCGAAAGTGAAAAAAAAAGAAAAGTGCGTTTTTGGACATTAAATATGTATAAAATGTGCCACAAACAACACGTTTTATTCTTTTTCTTAGTATAAATTTAATCCGTAATGTGTAATTTAACATAAACATACATTTGTTAGCCAGAGAAGTGAACTTACCGAAGATTGACTTTTTACGAATAGGCGGGTGTCGAACAGCTTCTTCTCTTTTGAACAACTTTTTTGGATTTAAAGCTGAACTTCCTCTGTGTATGTGTAAAGTTATATATTCAAACAATAAATCTTGACAACAGAGTCTTTGAGATTAAGATCTAGCTCCGTTTTTCGGCTATTACCTGTTTACTCTGTCCCTGATTCAGACAGAGTCAACAACAACAAAAAAGGGTCACATGACAAAGGCCGTCTGGGAATTTTTTTATTTTGGTACTTTTCAACAACTTATAAAAGATTTAATTTGATTGAAATGTTCAGTAAGTTGAGAGAAAAAGATTTGGAGTTTTAAACAATAAAAATTAAAACTGGACTAATTTGACCTTCCTTGCTACCAGCATAAACACACGTTGTTTGTAATACACAATGGCCTAAATATAGTTTGACCTCATTGCATTGATGCAAACCAAGCACAACATACGTGTATCCCATGGTATGCCATTATGTCCTACCGATAAACTTAACGTCGCTTTTTTTTAATAGATGTATTAATTTGTAGCTCACTTGTACGTGGAATTTGTATTAAGAAAAAAGTACTTCATGATGTTGTATTCTAAAGGGCTATGTTGAATAAGACTATTGTCACATTCGTGGTGTTTTGGTCTAAGTGAAAGCTTTTTCTTACAAGAATTACTAAAGAAAGAGTACGCTGTTGCTTTGTGTCACCACACGCTGAGTAAATAATGCATTATTATACAAACGCTGCAATACAAAGATGTGACCTTGACATTAAAGTTGTTTGTCAGAGCGCTGTGGCAACAGGGCGCAGTGTTTGCGAAAGTGAAAAAAAAAGAGAAGTGCGTTTTTGGACATTAAATATGTATAAAATGTGCCACAAACAACACGTTTTATACTTTTTCTTAGTATAAATTTAATCCGTAATGTGTAATTTAACATAAACATACATTTGTTAGCCAGAGAAGTGAACTTACCGAAGATTGACTTTTTACGAATAGGCGGGTGTCGAACAGCTTCTTCTCTTTTGAACAACTTTTTTGGATTTAAAGCTGAACTTCCTCTGTGTATGTGTAAAGTTATATATTCAAGCAATAAATCTTGACAACAGAGTCTTTGAGATTAAGATCTAGCTCCGTTTTTCGGCTATTACCTGTTTACTCTGTCCCTGATTCAGACAGAGTCAACAACAACAAAAAAGGGTCACATGACAAAGGCCGTCTGGGAATTTTTTTTATTTTGGTACTTTTCAACAACTTATAAAAGATTTAATTTGATTGAAATGTTCAGTAAGTTGAGAGAAAAAGATTTGGAGTTTTAAACAATAAAAATTAAAACTGGACTAATTTGACCTTCCTTGCTACCAGCATAAACACACGTTGTTTGTAATACACAATGGCCTAAATATAGTTTGACCTCAGTAAGGTCATCACGTGCTGAATGTCACTGCATTCAGGTGCCTACTACCTGCATTGACATTTATGTATTAGCACTAATTCAAAACCTGACTTTAACCCCATCTCTATACAGCTTTGTGTTGGACTGCAATAGTTAACTGAAATCCTACATGAATCAAGAAGAAATGTAATCGTACGTCAATCGGCAGTCATTTCTTTAAGTTAGCATACAACAGTAGACCTTTATTGTAAAGCGTATTATAAAGAAGAATCTACAGTCAATTTTTGGACGTCTCATAGAAAATAGATAGGATGCCCGATAGAATTCCTGTTGGACTCCATTAGTTCCACAGCGTTTTATAGGACGTCCCACTAGACTTTTTGTAAATGCTAGCCGAGTATCTTAATAGTTCGCCAAGGGCAATGGGTGAAGAGCTAGCTTAGAACTTCTTTACACATTTTCCAGATGTGGACGAGTGTTTGTCAGCGCCATGCCAACATGGAGGCAGCTGTCAGGACGGGAAGAACAGTTACACCTGTGTCTGTCCTCCGGGATACGTGGGTGTCAACTGTGAGATGGGTGAGGAGGAATTATATGTAGTAACAGAAGTAGAAGTAGCAGCAGCAGTAGCGGTAGCGGTAGTAGTAGTAGAAGAAGCCGTAGCTGTAGTGTTGGAAATTGTAGTAAAAGTGATATTTGTAGTAGTAGTAGTAGTAGTAGTAAAAGGAGAAGACGTAGTTGTAGTATTGGCAGTTGTAGTAGAAAAAATATTTGTAGTAGTAGTAGTAATAGTAGTAGTATACAGTAGTAGTAGTAGTAATTGTATTAGTATAGTGGTTGTTGTTATCGTAATATAATTAGTAGAGTTTTGTCAGTTTTACATACACAAATATTGCATTATTAAACGTTTAAGTTGTACTTTGCTTCTTGTCCTATGTTAGATGAACACCCGTGTGCCTTACAACCGTGTAAAAATGGCGGAGAGTGTATTGCAATCAGGGATGATTACGAATGCAGGTGCCCACGTGGTTATGAAGGACTTCATTGCGAAATCGGTAAGTATGTTGTGTGGTGATGGAATATAGTCAATATATAGTAAATATGAACCCTGTTCATTACAGGATATGGGTATTTTTTAAGTAGAAGGCCATGCCCTTTTGCCCATGCAGAACACACGCACGCTCACAATTCACACATACACATGCACTTACACACGCACACACTCACACCCACAGGCACGCACGCACGCACACACAGGCATTCATATCCCTCTGAAATCCCAATTTTCTGCACCTGATAGATAACAATGAAACTCTTGCTTCGCTGGTAACGCTTAACGTGATAGATAAATAACACACCTTTAAACGTAAACACGTTCTCTAGACAATCAATGTATTTCGATTGACGCTAGTTTTTTTTTTTTTTTTTTCAAAACCAGCATATGTACTATTTCAACTGAAATGCAACAGTTTAATTTTAGATGGCATGAATATGATATTTGGTGCAGACTTGTAATTTGAAATGTGCTCCTACATTTTTCTTTGTTAAGATACAAACGAATGCCTGTCCAACCCGTGCCAGAATGGAGGGACGTGCAGTGATCAGATTGGGTACTATTCTTGTCAGTGTGTACTGGGTTATGAGGGAATAAACTGTGAAATAGGTCAGTGGAAAATAAAACTTATCTATTACTTGTCCTTTGATACATCGGTCTCGACGTCAAAATAATTAAATAAATGAATAAATAAAAATATAAAATATAAAAGATGTTCAGGTGTCTGCCAAAAGAAGAACGCCCGCGTTAGTTTATAATCTGCGCTTCTATTGCATTGTATTGACAGATGATGAAATCTACAATGGACGGTAACTGGACATGCTGCTGTAGAACTTCTAATGCATACTAACAATATTCAATAACAATGTGCCATATGCTGTTGCAGATATCAATGATTGCTCTCCAAATCCCTGTGTTCACGCCGTCAGATGCACGGATCTGGTCGGAACCTTTACCTGCGAATGTCTGCCAGGTTACACGGGGAGATATTGCGAAATAGGTAATTGGTACCATTTACTAACTTTTTATTACTTCTGGATTCAACCAGTATATACTCTTTTCGTTTTTTATTTTCTGTTCTTAAAAAAATTGAGTTTTATTGCATGTTACATCATGCCGTGGTTATTTGCATTTTGACACACAGAGAATCTTGGATATCAAAGTTATTTAAATATACATTTTAAAAGATGCATACAACTGCAGTCTGGTATATTTTGCATGCAGCAAGTAGATTTAACCAGAATTGATCCTATTCGTCTCGTGTAACCTCTGGCGTGCAGCACACAAGCACACACCAGAGTTGCAGCTCAGCCGGCGACTCGCCGTGTGCGCTGGGTTTTGTCATGATGTTGATACATATATGTGAAGTTTGTCGTTCCTATATTTTCAGTTTTTGAAGTCTGTAAAGACAATCTTTGCCAGAATGGTGCCACGTGCACTGATGACGTCGATGGTTACCGCTGTATCTGTCCTCCAGGTTATACTGGACGCTACTGTGGTGAAGGTATGACGGTTGGGGAGGGGGGGGGGGGCTCTCAAAACGACTGAATTATTTGAGATTAATTTAGCCTGCTTGATACTATAATAGATATAGATAAGAATGTTAATTCCTCATGCTATTGGTCTGAGAGATTGTCACGTATTGGTTAACAATAAATGCATATAGAGATTATTCTAAAGGCTGAAGCCATTTGTTAAACTATTCCTAGCTAATTTAGCAAGATTCTTAAAAGATGCCTTTTTATAGGAAACGTACATGACTAATGGTACCTTAAATATAGTCAAAAATCGTGTTATTAGAATCTTTCAGCCACACCAGATATAAGACTTTTTCTTTTATTTTATCCTCGTGATAAGAAACCTATCATGGTTTAAGCAATCGCTAACATGTGCTTTATTTTCTCATTTGTTTTACCGCCTGTGGTTCCAGACATTGACGAATGCGCCACTTCCCCGTGTCAAAACGAGGCAACTTGCACGGACTTGGTCAACGGCTATAGCTGCTCTTGTGTAGACGGCTACACGGGGAGAGACTGCGAACAAGGTAGGTTTATCTCTTCCCACCTCCACCCCCCTCTCTCTCTAACACACACACACACACACACACTCTCTCTCTCACACACACACACTCTCTCTCTCTCTCTCTGTCTCTTTTACTATCTCTTCTCTCCCCTAAATCCATCTTTGGAATATCATCCATGCAGCGTATTTGACTCTCTTTAATAAGCATTGACCGATGATCCTGGCAAACAAACAACCAAGACTGAAAGTCAAATATGCACAAACTGCCTTCGTCTCCTTTCAGAAATAGACGAATGTGCGTCCAACCCATGCGTCTACGCTGTAAGGTGCAACGATCTACGTGATGGCTACGAGTGCGACTGCGTACCCGGCTACACGGGAATTAATTGTGAAACAGGTGAGAGTTTGATTCATAGACGGGCCAGTTTAACGTGACACAAGTAGAGATCACAACTGTAATATGTATTAGGAAAATGTACATGAGCATGATACATCCATTCCTGCCTGATATCTTTTACATCACTGAGAAAACTGGACTGAACGGGGTCGTCTCGATAGTCCGAAGGTTCATTGGTCCGAAAAGTGGTAACATTTTCATCGATTTTTTAATCAAGGGTTCATTGGTCCAAGGGTTCTACAGTGAACATTCGGACCAATGAACTTTCGGACTATTGAACCTTCGGACTATCGCTACGGCCCCGACTGAACTTCTAGGTTGAGAAGCGCTGAATTTGGAACGATGCCCCGTTTCAATTACTAGCAGTACTAGTATACCCTCTAATATCAGGGGCCTCAAAATTAGTATACACTACTTAAAGGTAACAATAATTTTGTAACCGACTCCTAGCAGACTTTGTGGTCAGAGAGTAGTACTGGTATGTGACGCGATATAACAGTGACGTACAATATACTACAATATACCGGTAGATGCGTCACGTTGACGATGTTCTTCCGAACATTGCATCGTGCTCCATTTAATTACGTATACGTATACGTCTCACCCAATGGTGATTTTCATTAGTTGACTTAAACCATTCTGTATCCCCACAGTAAATGACTGCACAACTAATGACGTTCTTTCTCCTCCTCAGAGATCGAGGAGTGCAGTTCTGCTCCCTGCCAGAACAGTGGAACATGTGTGGAGGAGATAGGACGGTACAGGTGCCTCTGTACACCTGGCTTCACGGGGGTAAACTGTGAACAAGGTAAGTGAGACTTGAACATTTAGATACAGTTTGAAATCAACTGAGTCAGATTTTATGAAGGAGGGGTGGGGTTACCATTGAGAAAGAAGTCGGAGTGGGTTTTTCCCTTTACACCACCCCCTCCTTCGATTACTTCGCATGTCCTGATGTGGTTGAAAAGGGGGGGAGCTAGATACCCTATCCACGGGCTGCTATGATGGTAGGCGTTAGTATATGTATCTATTATTTTATAGCATTCAAACATTCAATAGAACCTTGCTAAAGCGCCTGCCATTTACGGTGTACTTTAACAACTTAATTAATTAAGCCACATGTATTTTAGTGGATATCTTACGAGTATGATGTTGTAGCAAAGAAATCTGGTTGCTTTACTACGAAGTTTACGATTATACACGAAATGCAGAAACAAATGATATCCTGTGAATTATCGTACCTATTTTATAATAAGAAGAAGAAGAAGAAGAAGAAAAAGAAGATAATAATAATGAATATTCATGTATCACATGAATGATACTGAGGTACATCTAATTATATAAATGAAAGTCATTACGGTATGACTTACATATCTTATATCATACAATTTATTATAAATCTCATTTTCACTAAAGACGTGGACGAATGTGCATCCTCTCCGTGCCACGATGGCGCATGCGTAGATCAGGTGAACGGCTATCTTTGTATCTGTCCGCCAGGAATAACAGGAACCAACTGTGAGAATGGTAAATATGTAAAAGAAAGAATTGACACTTTTCAAGTCTTACACTATAAACGCGGTGACTATGGCATGTTTCTAGCAGCCTGGAACTACAACGAATATAAGACCTTGAAATAAATGACGGATCTTACGGTAGATGTGGTTTCATGTTGCAAAGTTTTGCCAAGATTTTCTTTGTAGTAGTAATTTAAGCATTATCACTTCATCGCTTAACTGTATCCAAAGCTACAAAATGTTGACCGTATAAATATCCGTTTGTTTCTCTATATATTGGCAAAGCAGTTTACATTTCTGTGGAAATTACACACGTGTAGCTGACGAAAATTTTCAATAGCATAATTTATAAAACAGAGTTATACTTGACTTTGGGACTCGGAGTCATACACTGTACACTACGTTTCCATTCACCTTTTATAGTCCTTGATCACATGGATGTTGCACCCGAGTGTTTGCCTCTTGTTATAATTGGTCTAATATTCTAGAATAATATTGTTTTAGCATCTTATCTAGAAAGCAAGGGCAATATCTTTCCCAATTTAACATTTCATATTTGAAACCTGACTTCCAGATATAGACGAGTGTGAGGAGAATCCGTGTGAACATGGCGGAGCCTGTATCAATACCATAGGTAGCTACAGATGTCAGTGCCCCTTGGGATACGGCGGAGTTCACTGTGAAATAGGTATACTGAAAACAGCATTTTGTGCAGACTTACAGAATGACTTCTTTGATGACTATTTGGTACAGCTTCTCTGGTGGCTTGGTCACATCTGAGACTTGAGTGAAAATGATGTGTCATACATATTTACTTATCCTACCGGTACTAGCTAGTTCTGTTAAATTACAGTCTATAAAAGAAAAGTACATGCTTGTGTGTCTCTTTAGTATTGGTTTCAAAAACAACATTTCTGGTACATAGTGTTTCACCCTTATTGCTGAAAAGTTAATCCCACATCACGCGTATTCTCGCACGTATGACGTCAGGCGGTGCCACTATCGCCTCCTTTTAGACTATCTCGAATGATTCCCATTGATAGATACCCCGAACGTATACGATGACCAGTTTGTCTCAGGCGAAATAGTTTTTCACTATGTCGTGGAGATGCTATATTTCTACCACATGTACCAGTAGTACAGTTAGTGCTGAGGACCCACTACAATACTGGAACCAGAATACTTAAATTTTACCAATCACGATAATTTTAATGTTCAATATCTTTTTTTTTTCTCTGTGTAGATGTTGACGAGTGTGCCAGTGCGCCCTGTCTGCACGGCTCAACCTGCGTGGACGGTGTGGGAAGATACCAGTGTGTCTGTACTCCGGGATACACGGGGGTACAGTGTCAACAAGGTACTGTATGGAAACTGTGGTCGCTTGGTCGCCGCAGGAAGCTATAATATTACAGGAAAATGAAAACACCAGAATTAAAAAATGAATAAAAAATAAGGAACACAAAAACTTTTTGTAGCATTTTCATAAAGAATGAAGAGAATTTGCTGAAGTATAGTGATCTGAGGATTTGTTTCAAAATAGGTGTAGGCTACATAAATGTACACACCGATGGTTTACTTAGTATATTTTTGAAATGAAATATCTAGGGAATCTTTTTTTTTAACAAATCAGACACATAATATTGAACAATTATATCCTCTGCACGTATGTTGATATAGATAAAGATATGTTCATCTTGTTTTAGATATAAACGAGTGTGCCTCTCAACCGTGTCAAAATGATGGCACCTGTCGTGATAGGGTCAATGGCTACTTGTGCACATGCCCGGATGGGTACACGGGAGTTAACTGTGAAGAGGGTATGTACCTTTCCTGTTCTCTCTTTTAACACGACATATATTGTAGTGGTATTTACACTAAATTTACGTCTACGTTGTTACGATCTTTCTTGACATACAGAAAGACATATCTTAGCTGTAGGGTTTACAAGTTTATAAAGTTCAAAAACAAATTAAGCATGTGAAGGAGACAGATACTGAAAATCTAGATTGATATGTAAATGTATTTTTCTTCTTTTAAACGTGACAGCGGTTTCGTATAAAAGGGAACCGTCGATTAGAATGTGTAGAAGATCAGGGAAGTGATGTAAATTTATAATGTATTCTACAAACATAAAGCCTGGCATTTTATTTATTTCATAAAAATTCGGGATTTGAATAAATAAATACCCCAACGGCCTGATAAAATAGATAACAGAACAGTCGTTCCACATTCTCCCTTGTTCAATGAATTTAGATACCTCAGAATGTGATCAGAGTGTCTAATTTCTAATCACCTTTACTAACAGAAGTAGACGAATGTCTCTCCCAGCCGTGTAGAAATGGCGGCACGTGTGTTGACCAGGTCAATGGTTACCGGTGTTTGTGTCAGCGAGGGTTTGCTGGCCCTGACTGCGGCATAGGTATGTATAATGAGAGTGGTGTCTCTCTTTCCACTGTTTATAAATATTATTACATGTATCATTATATCATTACCGATAATTTACAGACTGACACGCCACCTCTTTATTTATTTGTTTATGTATTTATGTATTTATTTATTTATTTTATTTATTTTTTTTTTTTGCAACGTACCCGTAGAGTCACCATCTCTTCTAAATTTAACTAAACGCCAAGAGCAGGTGTGTTAGTCTGTTAATCTGACTGTATTTAGTGTCCCATTCCGAGTCCCCGTGGAGTTAGTGCACATTAGCTACAGTAGCTCGACAAAATGCATTGTGAACGGCCCTTTTTTTGTTTTGAGTTGATCTTGTGTCGAAGATTTGTTCATCTTTGGACATCTCCGTTTTAAAGTTGAATAGATTAAGCATATTATTTTATATATTGATTCATAAAAGCACTTATAATGTACATGTTCATCTAAAAACGTTCACATTAAGAGCTGGTTTTGCCGATTATTATTTCATATATCATATACACACAGCTATGTCTTAAAAATGTGCCGTGGACATTGATGCCTCTTATCCGTGTCTGTTGCAAAGAAAATTTCTTTGAGTTCATTTCAACAGAAATTACACGTATAATAATCGAACACTGTTCCTGCTGTAGATATTGATGAATGCGCGTCTGCTCCTTGTCAGCATGGAGGCTCGTGTGTGGACGAAGTTGGACAGTACAGATGTATTTGTCCACCAGGAATTACAGGCCCCAATTGTGAACAAGGTACTACTCGTGTAATCTTAACTTTACCTCATTTTGGTCAAAGAAAATGATTGTGTAGCCTCTAATAGCTGATCTTTGCTGGTGCTTAAACATTGCGTCAAATAAGAATATAATATTTCATCTTCTAATGTTTCAGAAACAAAAACGATTTTCTTTAATCGCAGAAGTGTTTTGTTGGTTATTAAATACAGGCTTTGGTTTCTTGCTCGATGAAATCTTAATTTTTTACACGGCTTACCCCCGGAGGTTAACTCATATCATATTGGGTAAATACGCCACTGATACAAGATATTAGTTATGCTGATGGTATTTTTCTCTCTCCCAGATGTGAACGAGTGTGCATCAGACCCCTGTATTAACGGCGGTATCTGCACTAATCTACAGAATATGTTCCAGTGCGCATGCCCGCCGGGTTTTACCGGAACACGATGCCAAATAGGTGCCATTTTTTAAAATAAAAGACTTTGAAAATCAGTCTTTGTAATTATAAATTCGGTTATCACTGATCGCATATTTTAAGAACACGTTAAATTTCATTGATTTATTTGAAGCAAGTGTAATTTGTGGTCGCGTCGATAATTAACTTTTAACTAGCGAACAATTCAAATTTAGAGGTTTGTTTAGAAAATTACAGCACAAAGGTAAATGGATCTTGGCGTGGGACATTTATAATATCTTTTTACTAATCTTGAACATATTTTCTTTATAATCCTCTTCAGATATTGATGAGTGCTCGTCTTTACCCTGTGAAAATGGCGGTCAGTGCGAGGACGGGGTCAATGAGTACAAATGTCAATGTCCACGTGGTTACGCTGGTATAAACTGTGAACAAGGTAGGCAATGGTCAATCTTGGTCTGTGGCAATATTTGCTCTTACAGATATTCAATTACTATTTGAACTCGTCTTAGTATATGTACAATGATGTTCATATTTATCCACAGTGTCAAGCAATGGCGACTCTGGGGTTGAGGGGAGGGGGAAGGGGGCACGTTCCCCTTCTTTAGCTTCTGAATCATCCCTTTTTACGTCTGGGTCAACATGTATTACCATTATAATACTGCATTGTTCATCACTAATATATAGATAAGATTTAAGGTATATTCCATGCCCCATGTTTCTTGCAGAGGTCGTTGAGTGCGACTCAAATCCTTGTCAGAACGGGGGCCGCTGTGTGGATGGCATTGACGAGTACCAGTGTGTCTGCCTCCCAGGCTTTACGGGCAGCAACTGCCAGATAAGTGAGTATCAGGCTCCCTGGAAATGTTGTTATTAATCACCCTTAATCACCGAGGGGATAAAATCGAAATTCTTCAGAAAATAACATCATTTTAAGTTATCAGTTTTTAGTTTTGTTTTTTCTTAATGGAGATAAAGACTGGTAAATCTAACTTACGTCATTTTCAATTGAAATATTAGTACTTTAAAATTGGGTTAATAGGTCATGAATTTCTCGACGGTTTCGGATATTGAATGCCATAGAAAAATGCAGAAATCTCCAGGAAAATCATGTTTTTGCTTTATAAAAAGTCTAACATACACCGCATGCATTTAGATACTCCTTTACTTACAATGCAAGTCTCCCATGCTTTCTGAGCTAAAGGGAAATTAGCGGCATCCCTGTAAAATGCACACAGCGACAATACAGGCTAACAAAATAAAACAGAACATCTTAAAAATCTAATCTTAAAATACACAAAAACATGAAATTTTCTCGTATTATTCAGACGTGGACGAGTGTCAGTCGGAGCCGTGTCAACATGGAGGGACATGCGTGGACCAGGTCAACGGCTATACCTGCACCTGTCCATCAGGGTATGGGGGCGTCCACTGCGAGATAGGTGAGATCAATGTGAAGTCATTGTGAGATAACAGTAACGTCACTAGGAGGTCATTGTGACGCCATTGAGACATCATGGTGACGTCACTGTCAGGGCATTGTGAGGTTGATCTCACGTTACTGTGAGGTCATTGTGACGTCACTGTGAGGTCATTGTGAGGTCACTGTCCTCAATTTTGACTCGTGGAGAGAGAGTAGATTTTAGAGGGAATTTGTTTAGTTACAATGTCAAGGTAATGTTCTGTAATTGGAGCTTTAGTTTATATGTTAATGAGAAGCATGATTTCTTCAGCTAGTATTTATAAATAGAAATAGATTTTTGTCACGAGCTCTTAAAAGAAGCACGTTGGTTGAGAGCAAGTTTAAGAAATAGATTTAATTTATAAGTTACCAATAGGTATTTAAATCATGATTAAGAAGTCAAACTTGAAACCGCTGTAGGAATGTTCCAAATGGTTATAGTGAGTGACGATAATTGGCTCTTATATTTAGATAAATTATTACATGTTATACTCGTAGTGCCTTAATTATCAGTGTATAAATAAATAACTAACGTTTGCTTCTAGTGACTGATGAGTGCCTATCTCAACCATGTCAGAACGGTGGTACATGTGTAGATGGGGACGGACAGTACACATGCCTCTGCGTAGAGGGGTACATTGGCGTCAACTGCCAACTAGGTGAGCGCTGATTTGGAGTTGGGCATGGTTCCAGGCACATTTTCCCTCGCTGCATTAGCATCGGGTGACGTTATTTGACGAAAAATTGCATGGGTGATTATTTGCATGTGAATGGAAGAAATAGATGTAGTAGACGAGATGTAGCCTTTAATGAGAATGTGGTTGATAAGAATGTGTTTTACGAGATTTAAAATTGCTTAAATGTTTACATGCTCTTCGTCAAAACCGAACACCGTATAAGTATATATCCCAAACAATTATATTACTCATACTTCATTTATGCAAATATAGAATAGAGCACTTTAATAAAATACCACTGTTTAAGTTCGATTGTTTGATTTGTTTTACTTAATTAATTCAATTTTTCCACATATTATTAAGAGCGTGACGAGTGTGACACCAGACCTTGCCAGAATGGCGGGCGGTGCGTGGATGCCTTCAATGCCTACACATGTGTCTGTCTCCCTGGTTACGTCGGATTGAACTGCCAAACAGGTACTCTTATTTCTTGTTTCATTTATATTCTAATACACGCATTCTTCTGTAGTATCATGTTACATTATGGTTTGCTTGTATTTGGACAAAAGATTTTAAGGTATAAAATTAAATACTTGAATGCAACGGTCCTTATGATTTGCTTGTATTAAGGCAAATTAAAAAAATATTTACATGAATGCAGCGGTTTTCAGTTTTTTTATGACCATTCTGCCGGTAATAGTGTCCTGACTGTGTATACTTTTGCATTGTCTAGAAACCAACGAGTGTGAGTCAGAGCCTTGCCAACATGGCGGCAGGTGCGTGGATGAGGTCAACCGGTACAGGTGCCAGTGTCGTCCGGGTTATTTTGGCAGGCAGTGTCAGACAGGTAGGTTTTATCAGGTGTATCGCTATGAGTAGTGTTCTGTTTGGATGGTATGTAATGCGTACATTTTGAAAAAAAAGTTTATCAAGATTGTTAAGAGTTTCAGAGGTTTTAACACTGAACAAAATGATGGATCCACAACTGGAAAGTGGAAATTACCTCCATTATTATCATTCCTCTGTCCATACTGAACACATTGTACGATCATACCCGTTTATGGGTGTTATTTTTAAATGACATTACCCTTGACATTGCCTTCACCCTGTTACTTCCAGAGCTGAACGAATGCTTGTCCTCTCCGTGTCAAAATGGCGGCACGTGTAACGATGAGGTTAACGGTTACACGTGCAGCTGTATTCCTGGGTACGAAGGCGTTAACTGCCAGATAGGTAAAATACTTTAGTACATTATTTGAGATGCATTTGTGTGTGGCTCCAATAGCAATATTTGCATACAACTATAGTATCGATATAGGAAATAATTAATTAATTAATAAATACGCCAAAAACGATTGATTCGATGGGCGTTTAACTAATAATTTGAAAGCTGAAATATTCACAGCAAATATTGAATGTATGAATACATATTTTACAGTTTTTTTTTAATTACGACTGCAAGCTATAAAAAGATTGTTAATCGATGCATAAGATTTTTAAACATGATATACATGCCAAACTTCTTAATTGGTCATCAAAATTATTCTGATGGTTAACAGAAATTCGAGACACGTTGAATTTATCTGAAAGTGCCCCAAGGCCGGAAATAAAAACTAATGAAGCAGGTTGTTCTCATTATCCAGAATTTTTAAAACCTGAACACTCGGCTACATGCCTGTTATAACCAACAGCACATCTTGTATTCAGATCGTGACGAGTGCGCCTCGGAGCCGTGTCAGAACGGCGGCGTATGTGAAGATGACATAAATGGATACACGTGTCGCTGTCTTGGTGGCTACACAGGTGTGAATTGTCAGATAGGTAAGAACCGTCATTACTTTGTTGATGACTATCTCCACAACGAGTAGCACTTTGGTTGCAGAAATCTGGTGCAATCTTTCCCGTACATGATACACTTGTAATGTTTAATGATATGAATAGCGATAACAAACCCTATCCATTTTATTATTGAATTTATTTCTGTCAGTATTTGAAGGCCGTGCAGTTATTTAAGTGCTTCATGATCTGATATTTAAATCACCATTTATAAATTGTATTTGTTTTGAAATCAAAACAGCTTTTTCAAGTTTGCTACATATAGTACTGCAGTATGATAGGATTCATACTATTGTCTTGAGATCATGGTTTGTTTTAACATCGCGTTTGGAGCACAAGGATCATTTCGAGTAATACTAGCTACATGCATTATTGAGAGCGATACTTATAGGAGAAGAGTGAGTCATCCCCTTGTATTTGTATTGCAGGAGTAAACGAATGTGCCTCGCTTCCGTGTCAGAATGGCGGGGAGTGTGTGGACGGCGTGAACAGATACACGTGTATTTGTCCAGAAGGGTATGCTGGCAGGGATTGTCAAGTTGGTATGTTACACAACCCTGTCTAAATTTATCATAAACTTTTTTTTTTTTTTGGAATGCCTATGTGTAAAATAGAAAACTACGGCTTTTCAGTTCGTTTTACAGCAGTGGTTGCTGCAGGTAGGTATAATATAACTGTGAAACTGCACATATTGCACTTTATGTATTTTACTTTATGCACGATAGAGTTAAGTAAACGAGACTATTGGAATGGATTTGGAACACAGATGTATCACCCCTTCACTTTTGGCCTGTTTAATAAGGATACTAGGCCTAGTTACCATAGATGCACATTTGCTACACATAATAAAATTTAGATTTTCAATACGTAAAATGAATCAAAAACCTTTTTTTTTTTATATAAGCATATTGAAAAAAAACTTATATTGTGTGTTCCAGATATAAATGAATGCCAGTCAGCGCCGTGCCAGAACGGGGCCACGTGTTTAAATGAAATCAACAAGTACACGTGTCTGTGTCCGCCAGGGTACGCTGGTGTCAACTGTCAATCAGGCAAGTAAACAGGCAATGGGCGGGACTACGTTGGTACATGGAGTCCTTGACTTTTCATTCAACGTGGTGATTGTGGTAAAAATCCGTAACACACACAATAGGTTTTTTTTCTTTTTTCGCACTTATGTAAAAAGAAGTAGAACAATGGCGTGATGTTTCAAATTCAGGTGGCATGCGTTGTTTTTGTAACTTTAAACGTAATTAAATTGACCCATTTTAATTGGGAAGGACGTGATTCACTTGGAACTAGTACCATTAGTGTGTATTTTACAGAAATATTTTATTTTGTTTACAAGCAGTAAGTCATGTCATATATTTTTGTTTTTTCTTTCGATAACGTTGATTTTACATATGAATGAGCAGAAATCAACGAGTGCGACTCGTCACCTTGTCAAAATGGCGGCAGGTGCACGGACGGTATCAACAGGTATGACTGCACGTGTCGCGCCGGGTACTCGGGGGTCAACTGTCAGGAAGGTACGTTGACACTTCTTTGAGAAATTTTCGTTTCTTGAATTATTTGTGAACCCCGATTTAAGCTTGCTATTATTACTATTATTATTTTTTTTTTGCTTGATAGATAACAAGACTGTGTCGTATTGTATTGTATCTTGGGGGAGTGTAGAGTAGGCTGTTAGTGTACAGCAGCTATCCCATCGTATTCTGTTCTATTTCAGAAATAGACGAGTGTGCCTCCAACCCCTGTCAGAACGACGCCTCGTGTGTGGACGGCTTAAACAGATACCAGTGTCTCTGTGTACCGGGATATACCGGTGTCAGGTGTGAAACAGGTAGGTGTCTCTGTGTACCGGGATATACTGGTGTCAGGTGTGAGACAGATAGGTGTCTCTGTGTACCGGGATATACTGGGGTCAGGTGTGAGACAGGTAGGTGTCTGTGTGTACCGG